TGGCCCATTCCACTCAAATGCACCACATTGGAGAATTCATGTGTTGCGGAAAATACTCCGGGATCGAATTTGGACCGATATTGATATTTACACTCAACTGAAAAAATAAAAGAACAATCACACAAGACAAAATAATTTACATAGTTCGCCACCCCCCACTACCACCACCATCATTACTGTCACCACCAAACCACCACCAACGTCGTCGCTATCACCATCATCGCGACCTCACTATCGTAGCCGCCATCACCACCTCCTCACTGTCACCACCCCTATCACCACCACCACCACCACCATCACCACACCATCACCATCGTTGCCGCCACCCTACTACCACCACCACTGTTCTACCATCACCCCTATCACCACCCCCCACAACCATCACCATTATTGTTGTCGTCACCCTATAACCACCACCATTATAGTCATTGCCCCACTACCACCACCACTATCGTCAACTACCACTGATTGTTACTATCATTGTCCATCGCCACCATCCACCTCTATTGTCATCTCATTTTTATATTTATTGTCACTATCATCATCATCTCATTACCAACATCGCCCACTGTTAGCACCCACCACCACAACCCACCAACACATCGTCGTCCACCATCACTACCAGCCACTACCACCCACTCCCACCACATCTACCACCACCACCACCACATTCGCCACCACCCATCACATTGTCGCCCAGAAACACCTGTTGTCGCCCACTATCACCATCGTCAGCGGCCACCACCACTTCCAACCCCCATCATCGTTGTCGTCCCACCATTACTACTGTCAACTGTCATTACTGTCGCCCACCTACCACCACCACCACCAAGGTCATCCATGATTACCACTACCACCATCGTTTTCCAAAACCAATCACCACCATCATTGTTGCCACCCGTCACAAACATCATTGTCTCTCATCACCACCACTACAATCAGTGCTTAAATTTCGTTCTTCATCCTCTATGTTTAGGATTAGATTTTGGTTGTGAATACAAATATGTTTATCGTTAACCATTTTTTTTATTACTCCATGTCTTCAAGCATGAGAAATAACTAGTACCTAAATATGGGAACAAAAATAATTTAGATAATTCTTGATTAAATTTCTACCCAAATTTTAGTCAAAGAATTACCTAAATTACACATTTTTTTTTAAATATGAACTATCCAGATTTTGTTCAAAAGCTACTCATATTACACTTTTTTTTTTGTCGAGAGTTACCTAAATTTTGGTTAAGAGTTATTTAAATTATTTTTGTTTAGATTTAAGTATTATATGACACATTTATGATAAAAACTTAATAGCAATCTAGACGTTGTTTGCTTGAGATATTATACAAAAACATATTTAATACTTTAGGGACCAAAATGATACAATTGAAATATTGGGGTCCAAAATAAGACAAATTTTATATTTTAAGGATCTCTAGTGTAATTAACCCTATTAATTAATACATAATATTAGTTATTAAATGACAGTTGTGAATCAAGTCAGGATAAATGAAAAATTAATATCGAATTGCTATAATTCAATTGAAACTTGATATTATATCATCACGGAATTAAATTAATACAATCCAATCTCCTAATCCCTCAACTAAACATGCTCATATAGAAACTTGAAATCTTCCTACAGTTAGTTTTTCTGATTCAACACTATCTGTAGATTTAACAAATTCAAATTTGCTTTTCTGATACAAAACATTTGACTTTACAAAGCTTCCTAGTTACTTGTAGATTCTGTCAGTCACAACAAAGACACTATAAACAGAAGAAGGGTGGTTAAATAAAGCAACCTGCCAGAAAGTGAAGATTTATGAACTGTTGAAGATGATTTATTCATTGACGATCTTGTGATATTTCCATTAACTGTGGAAAAATGCTGCACTGTTCTTGCTGGTCCGGGTTTTGCCGTCTCACAGCGTTCGATACCCAAATCGAATAACGAATCCAGATCACCTCCAAAACCATTGCTTGCATCGTAGCATAGTCCAGCATTGTTGTGAAGCTTTAGTTTACTTCTCATTCTCCAAACCATTTCTCTCCTAAATGGTACACGCCCGCTTAGACGATTATTATTGAGTCTAAGCTCACTGAGGTTGTTCAGTTCTCGAAAGCTTGCTGGAATTGAACCATTCAAATTATTCCTATCAAGATGAAGGACACGAAGGTTCGGTAATCGGGCTAGTGATTCAGGTATGGGTCCTTGCAAGTTCATGTCTGAGAGAACTAAGATCATTAGATCTTTCAAGCCATCAAACCCATCACTTGGAATTGTTGAGGACACCATTGAATTGCCATTGAGAATCAAAGCTTGGAGAGAAGTCAAGCTTTTGAGAGATACTGGAAGTGGATCGGAGAGGCTGTTATAGCTTAAATCCATGAGAATTACATTTTTCAGGTCATGGATCGAATCCGATATTGAACCGGAGAGACGATTCCGGCTGAAGTCAATCTTCATCAGAGAATCACAGCTTCTAAGGGTGGATGGAATTGGTCCGACGAGGTGATTTTGGTTGAGGTCTAGCACATTCAAAAGAGGGAAAATTAGAGTGGGAATTGAACCGGTTAGTTTGTTGCAGCTCAAGTCTAACGACCTTAGACCGGTGATCCGACCCAGTGAAGCCGGTATTGAACCGTTGAGATTGTTTTTATGAAGATCAAGGACTTTTAAACGGGTCAGATTGCCAAGTTCAGTTGGTATAGGCCCTACATGCCCATTCTCCCTAAGAACTAGGGTATGTAGAGTGGGCCCCAAACGGGCCAAAAATGTTGGGATGGGTTGAGGGTTATAACTAAAACAACGATAGAAAAAAAGAGTTCTAATATGTGAGAGTTTAGTGATAGAAGGTGAAATGAAAGATCGATTTGACTCACATATAGGGAATGTCGTGTCATCGGATAGAGATCCGAATGATAGTGACACGACGTGGTAGACATTGTCCTTGTCCGGCATGCACTCTATACCGTGCCACCGGCCACGACAAACGTCGGGAATATCAGTGGCCCATTCATTTCCTGTGGCCCTCATGATGTCGTAGACCGCTTCTTGTTCATGGGCATCGGTTCGGGCTCCATTCTTGTTCATTGAAAACCCAGTTTGCGGTGCATCGACCAAGGCGGACGGGACGCCGGAGTCTGACATGATGACTGTGAAAGGCATGCCCAGAGGAATGAACACAAAATTTACTAGTAATATACATTGAAGTGAGAGAATGAGGGCCATTTTGAGAAAAGAAGAGAGAATTTGAGTCGCTGGTTGCTGTGAGAGTTGGGTGTTAAAAGCCTATGGAAGTTAATGCATGAGTGAGGTTGGTGAAATAGACCGAAGAAAGCTAATTATGAAATCACGAGGATTGGGAGAAAAAGGAGTAAACACAGACTCTGTGCATTAATGTGTGTCACGGGAATTACCCTTTTGCTACTTGGATTGGGTCCTTGCCAAACAGATTGGGTTTGGGGTAGGTATGTAATGGGACAATTCCAATTTAATCCGACTTGAATTTGCAATATTCAACATACATTTGGAAAGAAATTTTTAATAATTTGTTACAAACTTCTAACCCGATTTAAATTAGGGACAATACGAAGGTTAGGGCCTTGGATTTTTTGGACCTAATTTAAATCCAACCCGAATTAATAAGTTTGGTTTAGTTCAAATTTCACTTCAAGTTTTACAACCCAAGCATTAAATTTGAAATGAACCAAAATTGTGACCCGATACTAAAAAAAAAGAAGAAGAAGAAAGAATTCAACTTGAATGTGGACTAAGAGTTTGAAAATTTAAGCATGAACAAGACAAATTAAAAGGTGACTCAAATTTTGTGGTTCAACAAACAGATGAGACATTCGCATCGAAAAAGATTTTCCTAACATCTTCTTAATCTGGTGTATAGAAGTTGTGTGTGAGTGATGAATTGATGTGGAATTTACCCATATCAATAGGTTTATCAATCAACATGCTGATTCTTTGGCCACTTTTGTTACAATTCAAATTAGTATTTTATAACTTAAGGTTGAGTTCAAATTTATCTATTAACTTGTCCAACTCGCTTGAGTTGCACTAGTCAAATCGTGAGTCGTTTGGCAGATTGGGTATTGGAGGGCCCAAGCCTGCACCACAAGATCGTTGATCCAGGTCCAATAATAGGTGAGGGGTCTTGCCTAATAGCCCAACCTGTGGTTCATGGCTATTGATATGGTTTAGGTTTTTTCTAGGTTGGGCCGGCCCCAGTCCACTAACATTTTGGCTAAAATTACTGTACCTTAACTACTAGGACTCAAGTCGAGCCTATCAAAGTACAAATCGGACCGCATAACAGCCCAAGTTTTTCAGCCCTGGTCGCTGATCTCCACGAGCTACCTGGTGCATGGTATGCATCACTTAGCAATGCTTAATGAAATTCGCACCTAATAAAAAATTTTCAGAAATTATAGGGGTGTCCCTATAATTAGGGGATTTTTTAGGGGGTGTTAATAAAATTTATCCTAAATAAAAATATTGGAGTAATATTATAGTAAATTGTATGTATTGGAGACATTTTTGTTTTTTATTATACTATCGGTCCAATCAATTAACCTAACTGTTAAATCAATAAATTATTAATCTAATATATTTGTCAGTTCAATGTCCGATTCTATGACAGATAATGTTTATATTTAATATTTTTTGAGAATAATGCTATTTTAATCTTAAAATTTGATATAATTTATTAATTTAATAATATAATTTTAATAAAATTATTAAATTAACGCTAAATTTTAATCCTTTATTGAAACCACGATCAATCTAAATTTTATAATAAATTAGGTTAACAAATAAATCTCAATAGCATTGCTTTTTATCCGGCGAGACGATGAACGATGAAATCGCACGTGGCAAAACATACAGACATGCAGTGTGAGGCCTCGACACGTACACACACGTATAATTCCAAAAATAGAGCTCTCTCTAGCAGAAAGAACACTTTTATCTTCAAGTAAATTCTAATAACGATGCAACCTCCAGCGATGGAAGCTATGGAGCCAAAGAGAATCAGAACACAAAGCAGTAGTGAAACGCAGAGCGTAAGGGACAAGAAGGTGAGGGACATGATAGCAGACAAGAAGAGACTTGTGGAGGTGCCGTACACGGCGTCGTTGGCCCACACCATGAACGCCCTGGTGGCCAACCGGGTGTTGGCGGTGCCAGTGGCTGCGCCTCCGGGGCACTGGATTGGAGCTGGTGGTTCCATGATCTTGGAGTCTGATAAACAGACTGGTGCTGTGAGGAAGCACTATATAGGGATGGTGACCATGCTGGACTTACTGGTCCACATCGCCGGAGATGATGCCGACGGCGGCGGTGGTGGTGATGGGTATGATCTCGACCGGAGGATGTCGGTTCCGGTGTCGTCGATTATTGGGCATTGTCTTGAAAGTCTCAGTTTGTGGACGCTAAACCCCAATACTAGGCAGGTTCTGTTTGTTTACTCTTTTTTAGGTTCTGTACTTGGTTTTGTGTATGGGAACTTTTATTTTCATTTTCATTTGATTATTTTCAGTCATATCATGCCATTACATTTTTAAAACATACGGTAACAAAAACATCTCTCAAGAACCGTTGCTATGCCCCACTGTTGGACTTAAGCGACGGTTTCGAACCTGGTCGCCGTCTCTCCGATCAAAAAAAGATTTTTTTTTACTTTTTTGGGTTGTTGATGAGAACACGGTTGGGGATTATAATCTTTGACGGTGATGAACGTGATTACAACGCAAACTAGGTTTCTCAGTTGAGTGATGGCCCGATAGTTCATGGGGCTATCCGGCCCACCAAAACAGATAGGATTATGGGATGTGGATTTTGGTCTTCTAAGCTTGGCCCGTTAATGACCCTTTAGTTAAGCTAGTCAAATTGGTCCATTGCACAAACCGATAGTACGAGTGCGACTTGGACATCGGGTAGTAAGACTAGGGTTGATCCCTCAACTCCTCGAAGTTACACCCTAATTTAAAGTAGTAAGTTGAATTGGTGAAATACAAAAATTTCTAAAAATTGATTATCAGTGTCACTTGACATATAGGCAGTGCGAGCTTGGTCTTCCGGTCTATTGTCAACACTAGTTGAAGGAAATTCTCCGAAGAAAAAATGAATTATGGGAGTGTGCGACTTAAACTATTGATTGGTCTGTGCAAATATTTGTCTGCCACATTAGAATTCACAATCAAATGCATCCTTGTTCCAACCCTCGTGTAGCCCCATACAAAGGACAAGCTAGTTTATATTAGGGGTGCAACTCGGGCGAGTTGGACGGATTAGACAATGAACCCTAACTTAACCCTAGATATATAATCTTCAACTTTAACTCTAATCCTAACCCTCAAACTGAGCACTGTTCGAGTTTAATTCAAGTAGGCTCGAGTTTAATTCGGATTGATGATTTTGGATTACTTTACGGATTCAATTCGGGTAGAGCCCAAAATAAATTTGTTGTTCTAAACCTAATACATAATATTCACCTAAATTAACAGTCAATAACTTCAACCAAGTTTTTAGCGAAAGAAGCAAAGAAAACGAGAGAGACAGAGAACGATAAAATAAAAATGAAAAATCAGTGCTAATGTTTTATATATATATAATTTTTTTTTTAATTTGTTAGATTCGGGTTGAACTTGGGTTTACGAGGCCTTAACCCGAGCCCAACCCAAATTGAATTTGGGTTGAAATTTTTTGACTCCAGTCCAACCCAAGTATTAAAAACTCTTGCCCAAACCCTAATTTTTTCGGGTTGAAATCGGGTTGCCCAACCCAAGTTGCACCCTTAGTTTACATAAAGAGAATTTTTTCTATGATCAGATCCGAATCAGTCAAGAATTGGAGTCTCACAATTACTAGTCAATATGTTTTTCTCTCGTGCTTTTAAAAGTTAAAATTACCATAAAATCCGATGCTCCAATGACAATTGCTCATGTAGTTTCTGAAAGAGTGAGATTTCCTCTTAATATATTTTCTCTTTTAATTCTCTTTTTGACCAATCACCTACTATATATTTAAGTAGAATCTATTGTATATAAGTGAATTATGTATTTTCATGATAGATGATCCGTCAAAAAAGAAATTGAAGTCAAAAAGTATTGGAACAATCAACTACATGAGCAATTTGTGTCTCTATGTAGGGCTTTGGCATAGTCAACCCGCTTCCCCCTCCCCCTCCCCCTCCCCCTCCCAGTCCCAGAAATATTCAATTAAAAGGGGAGGGGAGGAGTGGGCAGGGGCTGAAGAGAATAAACATTAAAGAACTTTGAGGTCTTATTTCCATATTGACATGTTGAACCTAACCTGATGTATGTGCAGCACACTTGACTGTATGGAAGTGTTTAGCAAAGGGATCCATCGTGCTCTTGTACCACTGGGCAGCCACATGCAAAATATAGCTGGAGTCGAGCTAGTAGAATCTGCACCAAGTTACCAGATGCTAACACAAGTGGATCTCTTGAGGTTCTTAAAGGCACACGACTCTGAGCTGAAAGGTATCATGTCACACAATGTCGAAGAACTTGGAGCAGTGACAAAGAGCGTTTTTGGAGTAACTAACCGCACCAAAGTTATTGAAGCCATTAAATGTATGAGAGCTGCCTCACTTAGTGCTGTACCAATTGTTGAAGCTTCAAGTGCCATTGAAGAGGATCACGGGCAGCTTGTAAACGTAAATTTTTTTGGCAGAGCATTTCCCTTCCTTATGAAATCATACTCATTTTGCTTGATCATGCTAGCCGTAGTTAACATACATCACTGAGCAAAAATTCTCCAATTTTGTTAATTGCTGCTTCCGCAGCCGGAACTTGATCGAAATTACGCATATATTTTACAGGGAAAAGGTAGAAAGCTTGTGGGGACATTTTCTGCAACTGATCTAAGAGGCTGCCCTATTTCTCAGCTGCAATTCTGGTTGCCTTTAAGCGTTTTAGACTTCAAAGAAAAACACTCGACAAGTCCATTGCCTGCAGCTTCAGACACGGCAGTGTCATCGAGGGAACTCGTGACTTGCCATGCTGAATCATGCCTCGCGGAAGCCATTGAAAAGGCCCTTACCAAGCATGTGCACCGAATTTGGGTTATTGATCACCTGGGTCACCTAGTTGGGGTTGTTGCTCTCACAGATATTATCAGAGTGATGAGGGTCTCATTGCTGTCTTGAGTCCTTGTAGGGTGATATGTCTATAAAAAGAAACTGAGTTTTGATGTTGTTGGTGTTAACTGTTGTTCTCTCTTTGAACAGAATTTCATCAATTTGCTTCTAAATGTGAGGGAACAAGTAGACTACAAAGCACCCTGGGCATAATATCAGCTTAATTTTCATCAATTTTCTCCTGCCTAACACTAATGAAAGTAGGGCTCACAATAGGTCCGTCTTGTTTGGTTCTTGTCGCGTTTAAATAGTATTTCGGGTTCATGTCCATCGTGGGTCTGGTAAGTTCCTCATCAGTTTACCACCTGAATTGACGTACTAATACCAAACCGCTTTGGCTGTCTCAGACCAAAACTGAACTTTGAACTTCAAGTACCAAGACTTATTTTGGGGAAGTGCCTTAACAGATATAAGATTTACTAATATAAATGGCAAGCAGATTGTATATACATTAAAGGAACCAGCAACTATGACTAGGATTTGATACAACCCATTTTAAGCAATGACAGTGTAACGTGTATGCGTAAGCCGGATGAGCTATTGACAGTATCAAGAAGCAACCTGGGAATTCCATTGAGGCCGGGGATGTTGATTTGGTGATACTAATCCTCAGAATCGGCATCAAGTGGACAGGATCCATCATCCACATTGGCTAGTGGGTCGAAGAAAGGCGAGCTTGGATCAGTGCATCCGGGTACAAGATCAAGATTGCAACGGTCACCCTGTGATAGCCACCATTGACAACAGTGAAAACTTAAAACCTTCATTTGATTTGACAATAGATCTTTGACACAATGGTATAGAACAAAGAGAGAGATTTCACTTACTCCTTCAACTGTCAAGTTACCAATCATAGCGCATCTTGTGATGACAATATTTGTGTCTGGGAAGATTGCTTTCTCACATGCACCCTCTTTACCCAACTCTTCGGCAAGACCCTAGATTAAGAATACTAACACCTATGTGAATTTGTTTAGACACACACACATCTATATAAGAGGATTCTCTAAATGATTTTACCCTTTGACAACTTGGATTTGGTGTGTCATTCATTGAAATTAAGCAGTAGATTAAAGTACCAAGAAGTTGAGTGTTGTATTACCTGATTAAAGAAGTCAATTGGTTTGTTTCGCCAACCTTTTGGGACTTGAAACTGTAGTCTATAGGGACCATCCCACTCGGTCCCATTTGTGAATGAGAAGATCAAATTCATAGCTGCAAATCATAGAGTGGTCAAAAAAGAGAAGAGGAATCTTATGTAGTCGAGGATAATTAGTGTGTGAATGGAGACTGACCGTGCTTAGGGATACATATCTGAATCGTATATATAGGAGGATCTGCTTTGCCTCGATTTTTTTGAAGCATTGCCCTTGGCTCACCACCACACATTATTGGCTGATTAAAACCTCCTGCAATATGTACGACTGAACAAGTCAGCAAAGAACCTTTCCAACTTTGTTGCATTTCATTTTCAATCATTTAAGTTCTACCACACAACACTCAACAAGGTAAAGGAGCATCCCCTAAGAAAAAGAAATTTTATCGCATTTTCTGCAGCATCAAAATATATATGCACAGAAATTTCATTTTTAGAATTTAAAATGACGGCGTCATCTCCTACAATAATTTTCGTGATCTTGATCTTCTCTCCACTTCTCTTCTCTTGTCTTTTATTTTCTTTCCACTACTATTTAGTAACGGATCTACAGTTTTTTCTAGGTTAAATGTACAAATGCCATGGTTCAGATAGCTACAACAAAATACCATTAAAACCAATCCCAAACTCTTCATTAGGAACAAGTTTTCTTGCAGCTGGATTGTAAAAAAGTTTCAGCCTCTCTCCCTGTCAAAGTTCAAAATGCATAATCAATGAAAAACTAAATCCATAAATATTTGCGAGAGTTCATTATATCAATTGCAATGCCAAACATACCGAAGTAGGAGGAAGGCCGTTCATAGTTTTCCAATAAACTGGAGCCCAACCAAGTTCAAATTCCGCCCATGTAGGAAGCAAAAAACTGAAAAATCGAGAATTGACTTGAGTTCCACCATGCTATGAAATTTCACAGAAGTATGAAAAGTTTTAGATTTGATAGAACAACTAAATTGGAGGATGTCATCCCGAAACTTATGTAGCCTGACTATCATCATCCTGCTTGTATATAATCAATAACAATATGGAAGATGGCCTCCTTCATTCTCAAATCTAATAAAATTAAATATTTGGAAGATCAGCTCTGCCATTTAACCTAAAAATGGCTATATTGCAAATGCAATACATCTGGTTTGGAAGCAGAGAAACATGAGAAAGGATTGAAGAAGCTTACTCTTTGATTTCTTCAACAGGAGTTGTTGCAACAGCAGCAACAGCACTTACTTTTCCTGCATTCTTAACTGACTTCCTATTCTTCGGGCGATATCTCTGCAAGGGAGCACCCATGAAATTGGTAGCTGCATCAAAATACACAGAGATTATCAGGCAAAAAAAAAGGTGAACATATGAACTTTTGCACACTTTTTATTATGTTTTATTCTTTAAAATCTTTTCTATGAATTGAAAGTAGCAATAAGGTCTTAGATGAAGTAAACAACAATGAAACATAATTATGTAGCTGACTCCCAGTAAGTTGGGTTAGTTGTCACACGATAACCAAGCTAGAATTCCTAGAACCCAGTCTCAGAAAAAACATACAGATGCCTAATGCATTTGGGTCTTCAAAGTTTGTGTTATAATCATAAATTCTCCCAAACAATTGACAACAAATATCTAACATCAAAACTAAGTTCTATTGTACATCAACCCCCCCCCCCCCCAAAAAAAAAAAAACACCACAAAGCTATATAAACTATGTTGTTGCCAAATTTTTTGGAAAGGTACATATGTTAGAGTTTATGGAACAAAAACAGAAATCTACAATCAATAATCCATCATGACTGTTTCTTTTTTTAATGCAAGAGAATAATATCTCTGCTGCAGATTCCCTCCCACGATATGTTCATGTCAATACATTCCAAGAATATTAAAGTTCAAAATCTTCTATTTACTCCGCTAATTTAAACCCCAAATTCAAGAATAGAAAGATCCAAACAAAAAATAGATCCACCATAAAGCTGCAACAGAATATATGAAACCATGATTATACCAATTAATAACATGTTTGATAAAAACCAATGTGAACAATACGATTATATCAAGAACCAGAAGACGGAAATAACGCACCATATGTGTTTGAGACAAAGGGACTAGCATTACTACTACTAGAAGCAGAATGAGCAGTATAAAGAGTTTGAGTTGAAGCAGCATATATTGAAGCATTCGCCGCCGCCGCTGCTGCAGCCGCTACGGTCGCCGCCATTAGACAAACAGTACAAAGAGGTAGAGGGAAATGATAAGGCGCAGAGAGAGATAGTTACTAATCCATTAGTAGGAGAAGAAATATAGCGCAAGAGTGAGCAATAGATAGAGAAAGGTAGGATTTTTGAGAGAGCAAACCGCAACCACAACCGCACATTTTGCTTGCAGAAATTATCTCCAACCCACAAAAACGACAAAATCCAAATGTACAGATTGCTTGTCAAAAACAAAAATATCTTATGATTTTATTATCAGCCTCTCGCTTACTTCTTTTCTCAACCCAGAAACCCCACCGCCTTATCACCTCCTCGTCACCCTCTCTCTCTCTCTTTTTCTCTCTCAAACAAATTAAGGGGTGACAAATCTAAATCACAAACCACCTCAACAAGTATAACTCCCTATTTGTAATCCACCAAACGTATCATGAGTGAAACAAAATAAATCCCTCTTTCAATGGCTCTCTTAGCACTGATACCCAATGCCACTACTCGGCTACCCAGAATGCCGGCGTGCAGAAATTACCGCCCGGTCCGGCGTATCCATATGTACAAATTTACCACAAAAATGGTAAACACATTAGGTCCGATACAATACAATTTCAGTTGTCCTAACCACGAAAGCAGGGTTGGATAATGTAAATTGGTATTGCCAATTTTCCGTGCAGCATCGATATTGAGGTCAAAGAGTGAAAAAGAATCGATTTTTTGGAATAATTTTTCTCTCTGATGTAATGGTGCTGCAAAAGAATGAATGACATAGCACCTGCATCACCACCATCACAGTAATTGTATCGAAATCCAAGGAATTCAGACCCCAATTTCTTTTGCATTTTGGTGACACTGGTCTTCTGGGTTTGAATTTATCTCTCTAATCTTTCAAATTTTTTAGATGAATTTGAAACACGTGTATTTATTAACTTTTTGTGTTAGACATACACATTGTTTTTTTTTTTGGGGTTAATTGTAAATTGTATTTTATAAGATTGTTCGAATTTTAATTTATATTTTAAAAATAAAAAATTTTAATTTATACCCTTAAAAATAGAAATTTATATCAATGTTACCCCCAAAGATAAAAAATTTCAATTTACAGCCTTAAAGATAGAATTTTGTATTAATGTGCACCCTCAAGGATCAAAAATCTCAATTTGAACCCTTACAAATAAAAATTTGTATCAATGTTCACCTAAAACTAACCGCCATTAGTTTGTTACTTAAAATTAAATTGATAAATTATATCTAGATCCCCTCATTTTTGTCACTTAATCATTTGGACCTTTTCACATTTAGAATATTACTCCTACATATCATGATGTTTGTGAACGTGTAATATGTAACCCTTTTTTGTTAATATCCGTTAATATAATTGTTAAAAAATATAATTTTATCTTAATAAAAAAATTTAATTCCATATTATCTTTTATTTTGTGGGTCTAATATACTCTAAAGTTCAAAATCAAGTTTACCATTTAAATATTCAATAGAATGTAGGTATTTATATAATATTTTTTATATCCAATGCAATATATCAGTCAAACATAATTATTTGAATGCCCAATTGGGGGGACATTTTAGATTGAGATTATTTTTATTAGATTTTATAACCATTAAAAAATTTGATTTTATCCTAATAAAAAATTATAATTTCATATTACCCTTTATTTTGTGAAGGTGTTCAAATGATTAAGTGACAAGTATGAGAAAATCTAGGTATAATTTATCAATTTAGTTTTAGGTGTACATTAATACAAATTTTTATTTTTAAGGGTACAAATTGAGATTTTTTATCTTTTGGGGTGCACATTGATACAAATTTCTATCTTTGAGGGAGTAAATTAATATTTTTGATCTTAAGGGGTGCACATCGATACAAGTTTCTATCTTTGAGGGTGTAAATTTAAATTTTTGATTTTTAGGGGTAAAAATTAAGATTCGAATAATTTTTTGGAGTGTAATTTGTAATTAACCCTTTTTTTTTGTAGGAGGGGGAGGAAGAAGGGAGAGGAAAATTTAAATCCTTAACTTCAAGACCCATTAGTTAGACATACACATACCTTATCTCTCAACCAACTAGTATTACAACTGATAACTGATGATGTTAATTGAACTTTTTAAAGTGATCTAAGAGCTTTTTTAATTCTTAATCAAACTTAAATTTGAGACTTGGAGTTCATATGGTGGTTGACTGCTATATTAGTATAATTAAGTTCGTTCTCAAGAGGAGTAACAAGCACGATCACGAATTTCATGATCCCAACTGTGAACCGCATTTGACAAGGTTTGAATCGGAATTCACCTATTGAAAGGGTTAATCGGAGGTCAGTCCACGTAGACTTTTAGGTCAATTAGTCTATGTGTGTATTTTTTGGGGTTTATAGGACAATTAGAAATATAAAAATTAATTTTTTTTTAATGACATAAATAATTATATTACAAAAATAAACAGTAACAACAAAGTAGTAACAATAGTAACGAGACAATAACAATAACATATAACAGTGATATTGAGACAATAACATAAGACAGTAACAACTACAATAATAGTGAATTTTTACTGCTATTGTTCATTCTCATTTTCTAAAATTCACAAAACTAGATAGTAACGTGGATTTTTATTGTTATTATTATTCATGATTGTCAAAGTTCTACGGAACTAAATAGCTACAAGACAGTAGCAAAAAGATAGTGAATTTCATTGTCGCTTATCAAATTTCAATGTGCAAATTTGAAACAAATTTTGCTTAATATCAAAGAAATTTTGTCTAATTTAATCGACTATCACTATTAACAAATTTATTGTGTTTGAAATGAAATAGAGTTGTTTCATTTTTTATTGTATTTCATCGGAACACCATTTGGGCATAGCGTATAAGCTGGATATTGATTTGTGTCTGGATATTGATTTGTGTCATGCACTGGCCTTTGTAATTGATCACCTGTCATAAATTTACTGATGCAAACATTCTAGAGAAGACATTAAAATGGACTAAATTACATAAATTTTCAACGAGATTGGATGAGTGTACATCAATATCATACATCAACCCCTTCTGTAACTTCAAACTATAGCATTGCATCAACCCCTCCTACACAGCCACTCCTTTCTCACCCATTACGTGGAAATCCACCATTGTAGTAGCTCCTTAGATTGAATTCCTTGTTTTTCTCGAGTTCTATAGGATGAATAACGCCTGGCCTGACAAATGCGTTGTAAGTAATGGTCTTGCCACGAACCCAAATGCTATAAGCTTCTACCCCAATCCAAACTGGCCGACGAAACTATGCTTCTCTACCCACCAAAGACAAACAATTATTCGGCTACTAAGACAAATCGACCAAGATGAAGTGGCCCCTCTGACGGCGAATCTGAGAAGATGGAGTTGAGATCTGAAAAACAAAGAGAGACAATAGAGATACATATAGCCTTAAACCTTGGCCTTCTTTCGGCATTATTTTTTCCTGCAACAGTTGAAGCAATATTAAGTATAAAACTTCCAAACTTCTCAAGAGATGATCAAATGATATGGATCCCATCCAAGAAAGGGGACTTCGACACCAAGTCAGCATACAAGCTATTCTATTTTTGACAAGTCAATACCTAGAACCAGCAGATTGGAACAAATTGTGGACTTTTAAATTGCATGAGAGACTCATGATGATCCTTTGTTGGTTAGCCATTGAATGCATACCAACAAAAGCCCTCCTTGCTTCCAGACTCCCAATCTCAGATATCCTATGCCTCGTGTGTAATTTGAGCCCAAAAATTTCTGAGCATATTTTCTTCCTTTGTCATTTGACAAGAGCAATATGGTTTTCCAGTTGAGGACTACGGATAGATTCCTTCCACCACTTCACTGTACAAGAATGGGTGCACAACATCTTTAATCCCACAATCCTCTTTGGCATCTCTAGCAGCAGCAAAGAATCATGGACTTATTTGCTGCAATCCTTGTCACTATCATTTGGAAATGGAGGAATAAACTCCAATTCAATCAGATACAGATTTGTCAACCTAAGATGCAATAAAAAATCATGAAAATGTACATGGAATTCAAGGAAACCAGAACCCCCCAATAGTCTAGTCAAGTACTAAAGCAACATTAGCTCAACTGGATTCCCCCTGCAGATGAAGAGATCCAAATCAATGTTGATGTAGCAGTTGGTCCAAATGGCTCATGCCAAGCAGCAATTGCAAGGAAACCAGATGGAACAGTACTAGGAGCTGTAGTTGGAAATGAGTCAAACGCAGACCCCTTAATTGCTGAAGCACTTGCAGCAAGATGGCAACACTATGGGCTGATGCGAAAAACTAGAGTTATGTGATCATTGAAGGGAACTCCCAAGTTGTCATCCATGTTGCACTACTAACTAATGTCAAGCCTCACTAATTTATTATTTCTATCATTTAAGATCTCAAGCACCTGCTCATAGAACACCAAGAATGGGGAATGAACCATACAGATCGATTGACAAAATGTACAGCTCATGAACTTGCGGACTCAAAATGAAATACAATGGGAAGGTAGATGGAAATGATATCCCATATGCCGTTAGAGGCAAAATAAATTTAGGCAATAACCCTACTATGGATAGGGCAGGAGAACTCTTTTAATTGCTTTGTTTTTTTTTGCGATGTTCTTTCATTTACTCATTTGTATCCCCTATCTTCAATAGCAAAATATATATATATATATATATATATATATAAATATATAAACTAATTTTATTTAAAAGGGTAGTTTTGTTATTAAAAAAAACCTTTTACAATTAGTTTAGACTTAATAACTTAATTATTTGAAGCAACTGTCCTTAATCCCTTAAAGGGAAAGAGTTTGGACTTAATAACAAAACAGAAGACGAGATTGTACTTGATTCTAATTTTCGCTTAATGGAATACAAGTAGTACTTGCGTTTGGAGGGTTGGCAAGTGGGAACAGGCCAGGCCAGATTTTACTACCCCAAGCCCGTCAAGGGTCGGCCACTTGAGGCTCTGATTTATTGG